ATTCTCCTCTCAGGACTTTGGGCATGCATGCACACACGCCTGGTGTGAGTTTCAGGCTGCTGGGTCCAGGACTCAAAACATGGTTGACTACATGGGAGTCCAGTGCCTCAGCCACTATGCCACCTGCTGGCTCTGAAATATAGTTTAATTAAGTGATTAGTAAAACTATTCCTTTTAAAGTCTGAACTTTGAATAAATAGAGTATCGGCCCTGGTATGAAAGAATGACCATCTTTATAGACAGGCACCGAAGGCTGACCAGGTAAATGCATACAAGACAGTGATGCTGCAAAGAGATACAGTACAAGTGGCTCCAATAAAAAAGGAGAATCTATAGTCTCTTCACATTTAATCCTTGTCTTGGTCAGTTTAGGCTGCCATAACAAAATACCCCTGAGAGGGTGCTCAACCAGTAGGATTTTATTCTCACAATTCTGGAGACTGGGTAATCCAAGATCAAGGTGCTGGCAGGTTTGGTTCCCTATGAGAACTCTCTTATTGGCTTGCAGATGGCTGCCCTCTGGGTGTGTCTCCACATGGTAGAGGGAGGAGAGAATCTCTCTTCTTCTTCTTCTTATAAGGACCCTAATCCCATCAAGATAGCTCTACTCTCATGACCTCAACTCAACCTAATTACCTCTCAAAGACTCCATCTCCAAATACTATCACGTGAGGGTTTGGGGTTTCTATGTATGAATTTGGAGAGACATACTTAGTCCACAAGTTCCTTATAACAAATGTTTGAAGTAGGTATTATTATACCCATTTTCCAGACAAAGAAGTTGAAGTTTGAAGAAATTTAAAAATTTGTTCAAAGTTTAATGACTATTACTGTTTCCTTTTATATGACTGGAGCTCACTTGACTACTCACAACTCACTTGGTTACTCACTTCATCACTTCTCCAGTGAGGAAGGACTCTATGCACAGAACTATTCTGTAATGCTGGAAATGTCACCCTGTAACATTTATAATATGTGTGTACATCTATGCTCATATATGTTACATGAGTCTGTTGAGGGGCTTTGTTTGTGTTAACAAAATGACTTAGCTTCAGGAATGCATGGAACTGTGCAATAGCAAGTTTCATCCAAAATGGGTGGTCTGGCTGATGACATCAGTAAAGGAATTGGCCTGCTCTGGGAGCTTTAGCAAAAGAAGATTATGTACTTCACATTCGACATTCAGTCACCTGTTTCCATTTAAGTTTTCACTAGTCCTAGTAAGAGATTCCTCATGGCTTCTGCCATTTTTTATGACAATCAGGAAGATGATGCGATATGAGAGAGGTGGCGTCTGCAACACTGATATGGTAACTGTGGGGATAACTGTTGCTTCCATGGCAACTGTGTGTGTAGATGAATGTGCATATATACATTTACATAGGCAGATGTCGTATTTGTACTTGGTTATTATAAACTGTAACAACTACATTACAATCAATCAGTCTGCTTGTGTGAGGCTTAAGATTTTTAAAAAATCATAGAATTATCTCTTTAGATATTGTCAAGTATATGAACAAGAAGGGCTAAAAATAAGGTTTTGCAGTAAATATTTTTCTGCCAAATTTGGTTTCCAAGTCTGGAACTTGAAACTTGTACCTGAACAAGAAACATTTTTCAGGGGTCTTATAACACTTAACTATCCAAAGTGCTAGACTGAACCATTACTTCTTTCACATGCATTCATCAATTTTCCCTCATAAAAAGAGTAACAGGGGCTTAGCCCAAGAGAAAAATACAGTGACCAGTGCTATGTTTAACTTAATGGGCTGAGCTGTTCAGTAAAATGGTTTGGGGCGTATTAACAACTCCTGACAACTTGGCTAGTCTTCACTTTGAAAACACTCAGAGTTTTATCATATGCATACATTGGGCTGTTTCTTCAGGACTATCACTTATGTGCTGCTTCGAATCTTTAGGAAGCAGCTGGTCACATTTTCTAGAAAGGAAGAATGTAGCTCAGTCGACATCTTGTCGACCAATATGGCCACGTACTGGAGTGACTGCATTCAGAGTTTCACAGTCTTCTATCAATTTAGTGACTTCTTCATTATTCAGCCCCTTGTAGGACTGATAGGTACAAATGCAAAAAAAAAAAAAAAAAAAAAAAAAAAAAAAAAAAAAAAAAAAAAAAAAAAAAAGGAAAGACACATTGTTCATAGAAAATTCTTGAGTTTTCTCCAAAAACAATGTAGAGAACAGAAAGAAGTAGAAATAAATTAGTGTTTATTGACTTCGGGTTTAGGAGAGAGATGGGATTCTGCAGAAGGTCATTTTCCTTCCTCATCTATAACCTTACATCTCTGATTGTCGGAGCTCTGAGAAATCACTAGCTATTAAGGTAGGAAGCAAGAGTTATGATGGATCAATTTCAGGTTAAGGAACCTAGAAGCGAGAAGTTCTGTGCCCCAGAAATACTTATCCAGCATGCCAAGCAAGTGTTAGAACTTGAAGCCTGTAGGCAGAATTTTCCTGGATACAGCCCTGTCTACTTCCTCCTACTTGCAATTCTGGAAAACTGCAAGAAGGCAAGATGCCAGTTATAGGGTAACTGCCTTTGAGATCCCATGTCCCTTGAGGCTCAACTTTAATTTCTAGCAAGTGTTTTTGATGAAAGTTATTACGTTTCCTGATGACTTCTAAGTTAGTTGCTAGTCAAAACTAAGTATTACTTGATGCAAACTTTAACTTAATGCCGTTGATTTCCAAGAGCTCCGGGGGTTGTCTGTGACTCTGTATGGGAGGTGGGTAACTCCCTAAGCCAAATTTTACAGTTGTCTATGTGGGAGTTTCCAGAATCTTAAAAGGCGGTGAAAGTATGCTCTATGTAAACTATGTTTTAAGTAGGTGAAGACTTACATCATCCATGAAGAGAAGTGGAGAAAAATATCTCTATTCTTTCTATCTTGGTTGAAATTGCAAAATATCCAGAAGCCCAGGAACTTTCCACTTGGTATCCTCTTGCCAGGAATGCTGGCCTCGGATCCTGTTTTTCTTTCCATACGATATCCTAGGTGGGAGTGCATACCTGCACATGGCTCAGCACCCCTCCTCGCTGAAGGGGGAGCAGGCGGTCTCTATTACGTATAGTCCTTTTGTTCTTCCAGATGGTTGTGATTTAGGACCTAACTCTCAAGCATAAAAATAGTGCATGCATGATAGTCTTTTCTACAATCTGGCTTTTTACCCACCAAAGAGTAGTCAGAAAACCATCTCCACCATGTCTTCGTTTGTTTTTGCTGCTATCAGAGAATACCTGAGACTGGGTAATTTATAAAGGATTAATATTTATGTTTTTACAATATTTTTTTGTAGAAATTTTTTTGTTTTTGTTTGCTTGCTTTAAGGTGTATGCACTTGCCAGAGAGAGGGATAGAGACAGTGAGAGAGAAAGTGAGAAATGGCAGTCCCTTTTCCTCCATTCTACTCCTGGGATCTTGGGCATGCACACATACATGCCCAACACACCACCAGGTCCAGGATTCAAACTGCAGCTGGCCATATGGAAGTCCACTGACGTAACCATTACACCACCCGCTGGTCTAAGTATCTATTTCTTACACCAGGTCTGCATATGAAAGGGTCTTCTTGGTGTGTCATCCTGTGGTATAAGGCAGGAGGGCAAGAAAGAGAGCGTGGGTGTGGGCCGAACTCACTGACAGAGCAAATCCAGTCTTGGGTGAAACCATTCATGCGGTAAAGGTATGCATCCATTTATGAGAGCAAAGTCCTTATGACCTAATTACCTCTTAAAGGTCCCACTCAATCCCATTGCACTGGGATTTGTGTTTTTGGCACATGAACCATAGTGCATGGACATGGACTTATCTATTGGTTTTCTATAGATGGCCTGGACAATAAAAGGAATATCTTCAGATCCGCTATGACATTTTCATAACACAGGGAAGATACTATATAAGTAACAGTGAGACAAATATGGTTACTGTACAAACAACAGTTGCGCAAAGTAGAAGTTCAAACTTGGTTGTCCAACCAAGTCTGGGCTTCTGCCTACTAGCTAGTAATGCAAACTTAGCCATTAACTTATCCTTTTTAAATCTTCATTTTCCCACGAGTACAGCTATTGTGTATCACATACATTTTTTATAAGGATGAAATAAGATTAGCTAGATTATTATTGCCATTGTTACCAACATGACTGTTTCAATGTGAGATTTAATCTAGTCCACCATGTTGGTCCTTATACTCAAATATGTGGTCTTTGTGTTCACTGCCTAACAATGACCTTTCCAGCTCTTTTCGTGATTTTTCTAGCAACGGTCACTATTCAACTACTATATAAGTTCTGGTCTGGTTTCCATTGAGCAGATAATTAGAATGTTTCATAAGTTAGCTAAGGTGCTATTGATTTCTATTTTTAAAAGCATGAATCATTGTTTGGAGGACACAAAATCTTTATGAAATGTTACACTGTTATTGCATATTATTGCGAAATGTAAGACTCTTTAGCTGTATGATATATGCCATTTAGCCTGTGTGAAACCTTAGCTCATTGAATATTACAACTTCTGGTGAAATAAACAGGGCAAATTACCACCTCTGTGGATGACAGCAGTTACTGTACTTGTCCACAAAAAGAATTGAAAACAGAATTGGCAATAGTTCTTAAGACCCCAGACTAACTTTAGATTTCCATGAAATAAAGGAATGACCACCCAGCTTATTCTCCCAGGATCTCTTTCTGCATTCTAAAAAAGTTTATTTTGGGGGCAGCAGGTGGCATGGTGGTTACAGTGTTGGACTCCCACATGGCTGACCATGGTTCAAGTCCCAGACCTGGTGACTTGCAAAATCATGCCAGGTGCATGTGCTTGGGTACCCACAGTCCTAGGAAGAGAATGGAAGAGAAGGGATTGCAATGTGGCCATCCCCCTGATGGGGGTGGAGGAATTTCTCACTTATCCTCTCCAGTGAGAGAACATTCCCTAACCTAAAAACAAACAAACAAACAAATAAAAAAGTTGATTTATTTTCTTCCTCTGAGAGAGAGAGGGTTAGGGAGACAGAACTCCAATGGCGTCCCAATGTAGTAATCACCCCAGCCTCAGCCAGCCCCAGATGATGGCCACACCAGGTCCTGAGTGCTCAGGAGGGCTCCCAGGGCAAACCTGAAACCTGCCCCTGTGGCCAGCCTCCCAGCGTGTGGTGTGTGGCCACTGTACAGCAACTTCATGCAGCGTTCTCTTCCTCTGGTATTCCTACGAGGTCCCAGGAACTAGGACTTTGCTCCTTTCTCTGGAAGTTTCCAGTCATGACTGACTGAGGCACTGCTCCTTGAGTTTCTCAAGTCTTTGGCCCCCAAGAATAGAAGTTGCAGGATGGACATGGGGAAAGATCGGTAAGAAAAGACATGACTGGATAAGGAACTATGGAGAAAAGATATTCAGAATTAGGATGATAGAAGGGGTGCAGATGTCACTTAATTCTAATATGATGCAAAATTCAAAAGCTATGACCAAAAGCATAATCAAAATCCTGTGCTGTCTCTTTATTTAACCACATGTATTTTTCCCCAGAAGCCAACAATGTGACCGACTTCCTACACACTTACATATTGGGTCACATCTCGCAAATCCTTTTCTAGGATGATATTCACCCTTATTCACAAACAGTCACATACTACATACGCTGCACTGCACTGTTTCTCTCATTGATATATATATTGATATATTGATATCAATATTGATATATTGATATGTATCAATGAAGAGGATCCATGCTAGTACATAAAAACTCCCCTTCTTATCTTTCCTGCTATAACGTTACCCATTTCACCGTCCCTGCTTACTGAGACGCACCTCTTCCTCCACCGCCTTCCGTCACTCCCAGCCATGCTGATGAACAGCCCGGCCACCTACGTACCTGTGCACATGAGCACACACTACTCGTTCAGTTCTGAAAACAGAAACCACTCCACTGGAAGGAGGCAAGGATGTCGTGCCCAGTCTTAAGATGGGCTTTTCGAGGGGACTCCAGGCATACCTCAGAAATGACAGGCTGGGAACTCTTGTGCACCTGTGGCTTCCCCTGTGCTGCTGTTTCAAAAACACGTACCTGTGATTTAGGGATCAAGAAGCCAAAGTCAAGAAAAATTGCATCCTCTGAAACTGTCCCTGTGTACCTGGGGTCCTGGGAAGTGGATGCTGGTAGAATGCTGTTGCAGAAAAACCTCACAAATTCTTGACTTTCTCTGACCTTAAAAAAAAAAAAGTCGGGAACAGCGGTTGGCATAATGGCTGTGTCGCTGGACTCCCATGGAGTCGATTGTGATTCCAGTCCCAGACTCGAATCTGTGGCTTAAACTCACACTGGGTGCATGTGTGTGCGTGCCCAGGATCCCAAGGGGAGAATGGACGAAAGGGGTTGTGGTGTGGCCATCCCCTGGTGGGGTGATTTTTTGCTTTCTATCTCTCGGTCTCTCTCTGTCTTTCTGGCAAGCGGGCGCTCCCTGTCGCAAAAACCTCTCCAAAAAATAAAAGTTAAAAAGAAAAGACTAAAAGCACCCTTCTGCCTTTGAAATCTTACATGACTACATGAAACTGATGAGACTGAATTGCTTTTAAAATCCTAACTGCATAACAGTCTGGGAACTATTGATTTTATTTTCTAGACTCTGCAGCAATTTAAGATAAGGAAGCACTCTAGAAAACTAAAATCAAGGGCAACAGGCCTAGTCTAACCGAGAATACAACTGTCACTTTAGCTGATGACACTGGCCTGAAGAATTAAGAGAGTAGAAAGTTCCCCTAGTGTGGCTTAATCAGAATGAATAGTTTTTATTGGCAAGTGATATTTGACTGGATTGGTCAGAGAGATGATCCCCCACCCCAACCGTATTCCCTTAAGTCAAAGATGAATGTCCCGAGTAGGCAAGCCTTACCTCCAGAGCTGGCGGGCAGCAGTGCTCACGCGTCCACATACGGCTCCATCAGCGCCATTCGCTCAGGAAGGTAAGCGGAAGTGGGAATCGTGTGTGATGCCAGGCCGCCCTGCTCCATGTGGGACAAAAACTGGCGAGAAAGAGAGAAAGCAATAGGGAGAGGCTCGCTGCTTGATGACATGTTTGGTGGTTGGAAGTGAAAATGGTGAAGAGGATTTCCTTGCAAGGTTGTTGAGTTGCTCCAGTGGGCAGAGATGCGGCATACGATGCAGCCAACAGCAACACGACATTGTTAGCAATTGTTTGGAATCGTAAGAAGATGGGCCCTGATGTTCATAACCAATCAGAATCTAGAAATGAAGCATAGAGGCTGTGAGTGGATTTGCAGAACTAACATTGCGTGAGGCTGATGGTCAAGAGGGAGGACGTGTTTGCTCCGTTCGCTTGTAGTTAATGTTTGTTTAAGACAACAAAGTATTACATAAGCAATAACGCAGAGTAGGGACTCTCGGAGTATAGGTAATGCATTTGATACTTAGAGACTTTACTGACACTTAATGCTTCATAGTCATAGAGAACCTTCATTACTTGGACAATAGAAAACTGTGGTCCAGTTTTTCTGAGGAATTCTTAGAGGGGCTAAATACTAACACTCAACTAGCTTTCACCTAAAGCCTACTGTATTAGTCCACTTTCTGCTGCTATGACTGAATACCATAGCCTGGGGGATCTCGGAAGAATAGAAGTTTAATATTTCTTCAAAAATTTTTAAAGAGAGATTTTTGTTAAAGGGTGTGTGTACTCACCAGAGAGACAGACAGAGACAGAGATACAGAAAGTAAGAAATCACCAGGTGTGAGTGCAGCCACTCCACAATCCCTTCTCCATTCTCCTCTCCGGATTTTGGGCATGAACACACACGCACCCAGTGTGAATTTAAGCCACTGGGTCCAGGACTCAAACTACGTTCGACTACGTAGGAGTCCAGTGACATAACCATTATGCTGTCTGCTGGTCTCAAGAATAGAAGTTTATTTAGCTCATGGTTATGAAGGTTAGGAAGTGCAAGATGCTGGGTCTGCATCTGTTGACAGCCTTCCACTGTGTTGCAACGTGGCAGAGGCTTCGCATGACAAGAGAGGGAGACAGAGACTGAGAGACAGAGAGAAAAGGGGAAGAGAACCCTTGACATAATTAACCTACTTCTGCAAAAATGACATTAACATTGTTACGACCTAATCACCTCTTAAAGGTCCTATATCTTAATATCATCACAACAGCAATTAAATTTCAATAATTTTGAGAGGGATGTTCAAATCATAGCACCTGGCAACTGCATTCTTTTGTTTCCTCAGACCAAAAATCTTTGAGTCATCTTTGACTTTTTTGATTGCTCCTCTTTGCATTTCCTTTTGCTCTCTGAATTCACATTCACATTCACCCAATGTAGAACCTGACTACTTCTCACTACTGCGACAGCTACCACCATGGCCCCAGTCACATCAGTTCTCCCCTGGATTTCTT